TGTGTGTGTGTGTGTGTGTGTACTCATGTGTTTGGGAGAACCATTTTAAAGGTTCAGTGTGTAGGATTTAGAGACACCTAGTGGTGAAGTGTTGAAGTGAAGTGTGTTGCAGCTGAATACCCCTCCCATTCCAAACATGACAGAGATCCTGTGGTAACCTTCAGTTGTCATAAAAACTCAAAAGATGTGTAGTTTGTCCAGTTTGGACGACTGTAAAAACATGGCTGCCTCTTTGGAGAGGACCGGAGGGGCCATTCTAAGGTAACATTCTAAGGAATTTGGACATTGTCTTGATTTTAAGGCAGAGGGGCTGTGAGAGAATTTTCCTGTCTAGATTGTTTGAGGGACATTTCAGGAAAGGTAGCTGCCTGACAGGTTTTTCACTCTCACACTCCATAAAGTTACTTTGTTGTTGGAGTTATGTTGTGGGAATGTTGCTTTTGTCACAATGGTAAACATATATGTTTTAATCTTTGTTTTTTGAGACTCTGCGTAGTCTCGAAGGGGGAAATATGTGGTTCCTTGAAGGCCATGTGTTGTTTTTCTCTCTGAGGGAAGTTGATAATGGATCTGAAATCCATAGGTCTTGAGGATTCAGAGGTATATATGCGTTTGATTTTCTGAGAAAAGTGAGTTTGGGCACCAGGTCAATAGGTCAAGGCTCATAGGGGTTTCATTAGGTTTTACAACAACAACCCCATCATTTAAACGGAGAGTTGGAGCTGTTAGGGAGAAGAGATTCACATCGGCTCTGAATCTCTCTCCAGGCAGACTGCAGTGCTCGAATTGATGCTGAACTTCTTGTAATAAACCTTTTATACAAGCAAGACGGTGTCAGCGGAGATTGCTTCATCATCTTCACATCATTGCCACTCAATAAACAACAGTAAGAATAAGAGTTAGGGTTAGAGTGAGGCTTAGGCATTTAGTTTGGATGGTTAGGGTAAAGGGCTATGGAATGTATTATGTCAATGAGAGTCCTCAGTAAGATAGAAGTACAAACTTTTTCTCTCACACAATGTGCCTCCCTGGCCCCCCCTACCCCTGGATCCTTCTCTGAATTAGATTTAAAAAAAAAAAGGTATGTCTATTTTAAGTCATTTCTATATTTGGATCTAAAAATACAAGAGGCTGGATTCCCTAATTTGTCTTTGTGTATTTATTAGGAGCTTTCTGCAGAAAGGAGAGTCACAGGGATTTCAGAGTGCTGATGGAGAACAGTCAAATGCATCTTATATAGGAGAACTGTTTGACCGAGCCAGTTCAGACTGGTTCTGTGGAAGCAGTTTCAGACACGAATTAAGACAGGAAACTTATGTGCATACATTTCCTTGAAGTGGAGGACTCTTCTTCAGACTATGAGTAAGCAGACCTGTTGTGGAAACCCCTCGTTAAACATTTAACTGTGTGATGTGCTAAACAACAATGCTTGTGAAGCTATAAGGACAAACCGACTGACACAACCAAAGTATGTTTTAGGTCAGGTAATTTATTCAAATTAAAGGTTTTGCTGACGATGAAATAATCAAGCCTCAGCGTTATACCTGAATGAAAAGTAAAACAAAAACTATCACTCGCTCGCTCGCCCACTCACTCACTCGCTCATTCACTCACTCAGTCATGAAAATGCAAATGTCCTACATTACATTTGACATCAGGACGAAGACAAAAACCAGAGATGGTAAACAAGACAGTAAATGTGTGACAGACCTGGAGAGGCAACCGATCCCCTGCATGGATCCTTTCACAGCAGAAAACACAGAAGGTACCGTGAAGAAAACATGATTATGATTCAGTTTTTTTTTTTATCATATACTGACTTCACAACTAAACCCAATGCTTTTATCTGTTAGAAATGTCCCCCACAGAATCCTGACCGATTATAAATGAAACAGTGGAAATTGTCAGCTGTATACAATGAAAATATAACATTATTCTAACTTAAAGCTCTCCTTTAACATTACCACTTATTTTCACCTATAAATACATAATCTTACAGTGAGTGATGGTCCTGGAAGATATTTGAAGGAAGTTTTACGCACAACCACAGAATGTTAAAAGCAGTTACAGTCAGGTACAGAGGGAGTGTGGAACGTGGAGATCGTGGAGGCCTTGGTTTGTTCTCTCACACTGGAGTGCTTTTATACCCTTCAAAATAAAAACCCCTAAAACAAAACATAAGAACTTACAGAGCCCCTTAACTCCAGACAGATGATATTTTTTATCTTGTGCACACAAGATATTAACTTGTTCTCACACAATAAATATCTTGTTTGCACACAATAAAAACCTTGTGGGAACAAGTTAATGTATAATTATTCCTGATAATGACAAGTGCCACTCTCCATACAAGAGAATTTCAATATATGACATTCTAAGGTGCAAATAATTTTGTAAATTATCTTCAGCGGACAAGATAAAAACATATCACCTGTCAGGCCTTAAACTCCGTAACAGGTTGATGGGATAAGAAGTTAAAAAAAGTCATTCACTGTCTTCACAGTCCTCATATTAGGTGTTTTCTTTTGAAATTGTAGTTTTAATTTGACTCAAAAACAGCATCTTAAAGGACAAGACACCTGCTTACCAACATGTAAGTCCTCAAAAAACAAAATCTTTCTCCGCATTTTCTCCCTCTCCCCTTAATTTACATATAAAACCCCATCTTATTTCACTGTATCACCCACATTTCCCCAACTGTCTGACCCTCACCCCTTCACCCTGAGCTGAGTTTTTCACTCAGTCCCGTCATAGCTCGTCGTGAGTGGTTGCTTCATCTGCTTTAAGTTTGAACTCTGCCTCTGTGATTTTTCCATCTCCATCACGGTCCTGGTTGGAGAACATGTTGTCGATGATGCGATAGGGATCAAAGCCGGGTGCCAGGCGACCTTTTCCCTCGCTCACCTGCCGCATGATGTAATCAGTAAACTGAGGAAGCAAAGGAGAGATCAGAGAGAGTAAGATGAGAACACACAGACTACAAATACTAATGTTAATATGACGGAAACAACAGGTCATCTCGTACCTCAGAGGGCTCCACCTGCTTGTTCTCGTCTTTGTCCATCTCAGCGAAGAGGTCAGGGGACACATCGTCGTTCCAGATAAACATGTAGCCTTCAGGAAGTCCCTCCTCCATTTCTACCAGCTCAATGTCGAACAACAGCACAGCACTCCCTGGGACCTCATCAGCTGCATGCACACACACACACACACACAGAATGAGAAATTTAACCAGGGGCCAAAGTTTGAGATCCATGTATGAAGTGTGTGTGTCACTTACGGACTCCTCTCTCCCCATAGCCCAGGTGAGGAGGAATAACCAGGTGCCTCTTCTCTCCCACACACATGTCCAACAGTCCGTCCTCCATCCCTGGCACCACCTGGTTGGCTCCCAAGACGATGTTGTATGTCTTTCCATAGTTATATCTAAAACATCAGAGCCAGAGTTAATCATACTAAATAACTGCACTGCATTATCAACCTCTTCTCATGGGCCCCATGTGTTTGTTCTCTTCCCAAAGATCTTTGTTGTCATTCTTTAAAATGATGTCTCTGTGTGTGTGTGTGTGTCTCAAGGAGACCTTCCACTATCTCACACTCACGTGGAGTCGATGGATGTACCGTCCATCATGGAGGCGTTGTAGTGATATTTGATGAAGTCTCCCTTCTTTGTTTGCTTGTCGCACTCTCCTGGCTTGTGAGTGACGGTGATTTCAGTGCTGTCTGACGGGTTGTGGAAGTCGATGATGTCAATGTCAAACACCAGCACTGCTGATCCAGGGATCTTAGTGCCTGAGAGAAACATGGTGAGGAAAAAAAAGAAAGAATACAACATTAAAAGCTGTAGCTAAAAGAATATTTAATACACACACACAGACGCACACACACACAAGCGTAGACATGAACTCGGCAAGATGTCCCATCCAGACTTTCTCAGGAGTTTGCCTTTCACACATGAAAAATGCAGCTTTTCCACTCAGATATGTAGAACATTTAGGACGTAGCGTATTTATTCTGCTGCAGAGATCACATGTTTTTTTTTACACACATCAACACGAGCGACTATTCCGGCGGAGGATCTCCTGCTGTGTTCTCACATCTGCTCCTTCAGACGTTCTGCTGAGTTTTTACCAGGGGGCTGGCTGGAGAAACTCGGTTTTCACAACACTACACACACACACACATACACATGCACAAACACACACGCACCTGTGCCTTCCTCTCCATAGCCGAGATGTGGGGGGATGGTGATGGTGCGTTTCTCTCCCACACAGACTCCAATCAGACCCTCGTCCATGCCAGCGATCACGTAGCCTCGACCCACGTAGGTGTCATAGGTGCGATTACGTGAGTAGCTGTGGGACAGAGAATATTAACAAAAAATTATCACACTGACATGGAGCTAAAAATTCAGTCAATCTGTAAAAAATATATTTGTATTGTATTATAATACAATGTTCCTATATATCCTGGTTTATTTCATCTCAGAACACATGCAAGTGAGGAGGAAAAACATAGTTCGCTGGGAAAGTTCCCTCAAAACATATTTGAAATCAATAATGGGCCATCACATATACATATATATGTTTATTTTTGACATAGGTTATTTGAAACAAGTTATAAATGTCAGTATGAGTAACCAGCCCACATCTCTCACTCCTCCACTCTAAACACACACACACACGACATCACAACAAACACATCTGCTCTAACTAATTCCCCTCAAAGTTACAACCCCTGTCCTGTTATTATTTCACATGAACATATTTTTTTATTTGTGTACTTAAGCAGATTTTTCTGACGACTACATTTTATCACAAATATAGTTCTTTCTACTCCTCGTTATTTTAATGCATTTCGAAAGATTTTTGTCTGTGACAAGAATCAACAAACATCTCTGACAACGTCGACGATGCAACAAAACATTACCCATCCCTTTATTTGAATTAAGAATACTTTGTACACATTTGCTCCTGGAGCATTTTTCATGCACATTAAACTGTTTACTCTTTAACTTCTGTTTCAGTATATTGTTTTTTTTATTTGAAGTATGAGTGGTTAAATAATGTGACATGAGTCTCACTTTTATTTGCACAGATACATCTGGTAGAAATGAACTTCAGAGGGGAACGCTCTACTTTTATCTTTAAGTACACTTCAGAGCCTGAAGTTTTATACTTTTACTTGAGTCATTTTAAACTACTTGAATAAAGAATGTGTACTTTTACTACCTCTGTACTCAGTGTGCAGGAGGACGGTCGTCTTTGACTTCTGAACAGAATGTGCAGGAGAGATTCTTAGGACATGGAGAGAAATGCTAAGAGGCCGAATCCACAAAGCTGCAGTGGCTTGATAACAGCAGAGCTCAGTAACTTTCTGTTATTAAAGAAGAGGCTAAGTTTCATTTCCTGAGAAAAAGGAAGTACATTTAGAAAAAATAGATTCATATATTCTAGTTCAGCATTTTAAACATGAGCCTCAATACTGTTGTGTGTTCTTTTTACTGCTGAATACTGAATAAGATCAATATAAAGATTTTTGGAGTTTGTGAGTGGCAACACTAGATCTAACTAGTTGCACTGTTGTGTTTTACAAACAGGAAATTGCCACCAGTGGTTTTAAAGTTTTGAATCTCTCAATCGTGCACAGTGAGATGCTGCCATCCTGTGGCTGCTTAAAGAACAGCAGCAAGCAAAAGCTGTCAGATGAATGTTAAACATGGACACACACCTGGAATCAAAAAATGTCCCGTCGAGGAGACTGCCGTTGTAGTGGTAGCGTACAAAGTCTCCGGCGACAGACTTCCTCGTGCAGGACTCGGGCACTTTCTGATTGGTCACTGTGATGCCATCCCTGGGGTTGTGCAGGTCCAGGAGTACGATATCGAACACCAGAGAAGCCTGTCCCGGGATGTCGCTGCCTGGGGGAAGAAGAAGAAGGAGAAAGGTTGAAGAGAAGAAGGGAAGCAGGCATGGAGACAGAGGTAAAGGAGAGACCAGAAATATATATTTTTCTTTATTCTTCTTCTAACCGTGACCAGGATCAATTTTCCAAGAGTTACATCTATTTACCAAAATGATTCCTAGGTTCAAGATTGAACCTTGAGTAAAATAAATATGAATATGACGGTATATATATATATTGTGAATCTTTCTGAGAACCAAAACAAACGTGTATTTATATTTTTCATTCTCTTGTGTTTTATATCCAGAATACAAGGAAACTTAACCTTTGATTCTATCCCATGATACTGGCCCTGATCATATCATATCACTTAATATTCTTATAAGATGAAAACCTCTAAATAATTTAAAAACTGCAGTCAGTCAGTGTCTGGCAAACAAAATGCAAATTGGGCTTGGATGAACTACAATTTTTTAATAATTACAAAACAGCTCAAGGTTGTAAAAATAGATTGTTATGACTATTTATTCACAAAAATAAAAGAAATATATAAAATTGGAAATGAAATTATAATACAGTGTATTAACATGTAAACTGATCATTTCCTCTTGTTTTGTGCTACTACACTAATAAATGAAAATAAAATTGTTATATAATCATTTGTTGAAGAAGAATTCATCACACATGAAAGTCCTACATCAGCACTTGTAGATGTTTTCTCTACTTGTTGAAATATAAATGAAGTTGTTACTTCAAATTAAGCAAGTGCAGTGTGTTGACAGATAAACACTGTATATGTGTGTGACAAGGACTGTAATCTCCAGGAAACAATTAATAATCAAGAAATTATTAACACTAACCGTCTCCATTCTCTCCGTATCCAAGAGAGGGAGGCATAGTGACGATGCGTCTCTCTCCGACACACATGCCCAGGAGCCCCTGATCCATGCCAGCGATCAGCCAGCCGATCCCGACGTAGGTGTCATATGTGCGCATGCGGGTGTGACTGCAACAGGATGGACACACGGAGGAGAGAGGTTACGTATGTGTGAGTGCAGGTGCAGTTTATTATGTGACTGAGGGATTCCACAGAACGAACCTGGAATCGAAGAGCGTCCCGTCCAGCAGGGTGCCATTGTAGTGGTAGCGCACATAGTCAGACACCTCCACCTTCCTGGAGCAGCTGGAGGGCGTGTGGTAAGTGTTGATCTGCACGCCGTCCTCCGGGTTCCACACGTCGAGCAGCAGCACGTCAAAGTGGAGGATGGAGTCCGGAGGGATGATGTCACCTGGAGAGAAACCAGTCATTCACTCGTCAAACTTTATTAAGAATAAGTATAAATAAAAATGAAACACAGATACAACGAAATATATTGAACTTTAATTAAATTAAGTTTTTTCTGCATTGCTTATTCTGTAAAATAAAAGTTTTGACACCAGCAAACATAAACACTGATATGTTTGTGAAAGGCTCATATCGATTATCAGTCGGGCTCTGATGACAACACTTAAAACTAGAGGTGGAACAAAATATCCATATGATAATATATCGTCGTCCTGACTCATGAGATTTATGTTTATACATATAGTTTGGACTTTTGTCAGTTTATGGCTATTTTACATTCTAATGAAGGTACAAGTGGACACCAACAAGTTACTATGCGTAGTTTAAGACTTTGGGTGTTTAACATGAATCTGATCATATCTCAAGTTACTCTGTGATTCCAACTCCTGCTTAAAACCAGAGGATGAAACTTTAAAGTTTAAAGACTTGTCCCGGGGCTGTTGATGGACACAGGCACAGTGGCAAACGCAAATACTCCACAACTCCTTTATTGTATACAGAGGTGGAGGAGGGGTGTGAGGACAGTGTCAACAGACATTAAAGCGTCACTGCTGATGAGCTGGCAGGTCTCCCCCCC